ACATATATGTATATGAGTTTCTTGGTTTGAAAAAGATTCTTTTCTCCTTTGAAAGCTGTCTCCATAGGGGTAATGAGCACTTGACACTATATTTGCAAGGGAAAAAAAGAATGAGTTTCTCCAGCATCAAAAACAATTTCTGGTGTTAAAAAATATAGCAGGTTGAATATAATTAAACAAGAATTTACTGTACATCTCAGAATAACTTAAAAAGAGAATGTGGAATGTTCTGAACCCAAAATGATGACAAATGACGGAGATGATGGATATATGAATTATTGTGATTTAACCAATATATATTCTATTCTTGTGTTGAAAAATCACACTGTGCCTGACAAATATATACTATAATTTTATGTAATAACAAATACATTAAATGTAATACTAAGTAAAAGTAACCCTTGTAAAGAAAAAAAAATGCAGAGGAAAGTTGAATGTGGAGAAGATTAATGAATAATGATGTTAAAAACCTATGTCCTTGGCAAAATTTAAAGAAAATGAAAAAGATGTCTAGGACTTCTTTTTCTAGGAATCATTAGGTGTTCTCTCCCCTAACCTTATATAAGGGCATGGCTTCCAAATTACATAGTGTTCACAAACATCGCCTCAGTGGCATCTCCAGTGGTGTAGATTGGTTGTGGTTAAAACCGTTTTGTGGTTGGAAAGATGACAAAGCTGAGATGATAACCCAGGTCTGACTCTCAACCCATCATACCCTGTATACTGTGTTGTTGTAAGATACAAGTATTCTCTCTTAGGTCATACATAGGCTGAGTAGCCCATTTCCAAAATACTTGTCACCTGAAGTGTTTTGGATTTCAGAAGTTTTTTGAATTTTGGAATATTTTCATATACATCATGAGATGTTTTCAGGTTGGAACTCAAGCCTAAAGATAAAATTTATCTATGTTTCATTTATAGCTTATACATATGCCTTATAACTTATGCAATATTTTGGTCGCAATATTTTTTGCAACATTTTTACTGTGATCCATTACATAAGGTAAGCTGTAAAATTTTCTACTTGGGGATCATTTCAAAAAGTTTCAGATTGCTCAAAAAGTTTCGAGTTTGGAAGCATTTCAGATTTTGAATTAAGGATTTTTTTTTTTTTTTGAGAGGTTTTTGCTATGGAGTGCGTGTGCTCGCCAGAAAGACAGAGAGAGACAGAGAGACAGAAAGCGAGAAATCACCCCGCAGGGGGGATGGCCACACCACAATCCCTTCTCCTCCATTCTCCTCTAGGGATCTTGGCCATGCACGCACATGTGCCCGGCATGAATTTAAGCCACCGGGTCTGGAACTCGAATTGCAGTCGGCTACATGGGAATTCAGCGACATAGCCATTACGCTAACTGCTGGTCCCAATGTATATATTTTTTGAAATAATTTTTTTTGGAGAAGTTTTTGCTACAGGGTGTGTGTGCTCGTTAGTAAAACAGAGAGACAGAAAGCAAGAAATCACCCCCTCAGAGGGATGACCACGCCACAATCTCTTCTCCTCCATTCTCCTCTCAGGATCTTGGGCATGCACACACACACACCCAGTGTGAGTTTAAGCCATTGGGTCTGGGACTCGAACCACGTTTGACTACATGGGAGCCCAGTGACATAACCACTATACCAACTGCTGGTCCCCAGTGTTTAAATATTTTAACAAGTTCATATTGGTATGTACCAACTGAATTTCCTATCTGTCTTTAGTGGAATAGGCTACTTTTAAATTGTGTTTCTAAATGGTCCTTAAAATCTCAGTCTCCCTTAGGCCATTGTAACACAAAACTGTGTCACAAAATAACCAATGCAGTCCATCAATAATTTTCCTTTATCAGAGCAAATAATCACAAGTGAATTTGGATCACGGTAATCAGAAACATTTGTGCCAGGGGGCACGGAGTCTTCTAAGTTTGGATGTCATATTTCTGCAATACTGAGGGTGTACATTTACCTGTCTTTTGTACAGGGGAGGCTTATATAGGCATCTGGGAATTCTAGAAAGGTGATTGCCTGAGGAAGTGATCAGACCTGCTTTGTTTTCATCCCACTTTGCTGCCTATACCTATGTGACCTTACTTAGGTATAACATCTTCTTTAGGATAAATTCACTTTTGGTCAATTGATGGTGGAAGGATTCTGACCCAAGCATGCAATGTCCCCTGGTATTCCTTCCAAATAATAGAGGCGACCGAGAGTTATTTTCCATACTTGCAACTCTTAATGAAATCAGACAATGATCCAGATGCTCACCTGTATTATTACTTAATAAAATTGTGGATTGTGTTTTTTTTTTTTTTTTTAATAATATTTTGCAAATCATGAGTCCCTATGACAGAAAGTCTCCAAAGAACTCCTGGGGGGAGAGATTAGTGACCCATAGGCAATGAGTTCCAGCTCAGATTTTCTGCATCTGTATCTTGGAGAACACGAATAGCAATCACGTTCAAATGGATAGCAGAAGTACAATTTCTCAAAACCCCAATTTGCATTACTATTTGAAGTTAGACTTTTGCTATGCCATTATTTAAATGTCAAAGTGTGACCAAGTCCTGGCAGCTTCCGCAGCATCTGGGACCTGGTTAGGGAGGCAGATTCTTGGGCGGCATTTCAGACATCGTGAATCAGAGACATCACAGGTGGGACCCGGAAATCCGTGTTTTCATAAGTCCTCTAGAGGCGTTGACTGTCTGTTAAGGTTTGAGAAGCACAGAAGCCTTTGAACCCTTGGCATAACTTTATAAACAGCGAGTCACTTGATTCCCATCATGGTAGTCTGAGTGTCATGTGGACAGTTGTGTCTACTCCTATTTGATGCGTAGTAAGCACTCAGATAAATGGAATGACCTGGAGCCGTAAGATTAGTTTTATATATTTATAATGTATCTCAAGACATGTTTTGTATGTGGCACATAAACACTGTTTCAATTTTTCATCCACTAAAGCTAATTTACTATTTATTTGTAGAGGGAAGCCTATAACCCATGTTCTTTCTCAATCTCTCTCTCTCTCTCTTTTTTTTTTTGTTAAGTTTGCTATATGGTGTGTGCACTCACTGGAGAGAGGCAGAGACAGAGACAGAGGGAAAGTGAGAAAGCACCCCCAAGGGGGAATAGCCATGCCACAATCCCTTGTCCCTCACTCTTCTCTCTGAATTTTGGGCATGTGCCCAGCATGTTTTTAATGCCGGTCCAGGATTCAAACCATGCTGTTGGCTATGTGGGATCCAGTCACCTTAACCATCATGCCACTAGCTGACCCATCACCCAGGTTCTTTCAAGTAGCCTCTCTAAGACTGTTGGTTAGATGATCTAATTTTTTCATTTATTTGCTAGTTTTTTTGCTACTACCCTGCTCAAGAGGATGTGAGTCTACTTAGAATTTTAGAATACATATTAAAACAAATTTATTGACTCATTATAAAGTGTGTGCACATGTATATAAATGTGTCTGTATATGAGGTGGGGGGTGGATAAGCACCTTCTGTGGAGTATGGTCATGCTGCAGTCTTCTTCCTCCAATCTTCCAGCCTATGGCATCCTGGCACTCACATGTATGCCTGGTGTGTTTCAGGCTGACCGGGCAGCAGATCTGAACCGCAGTTACCACACAGGATCCAGCTTCTTTTAAGCAGTGTGTTACTGCTGTGTCACAGATCTGGCCCTTTATGAACATTTTTAAGAGGGCATGTAAGTGGTCGAGGTCTTTAAAAAACTTTGAAAGGTACAATTAAAATATGAAAAAAGAAAAATTGATACTCACAATTCTCCCACCCGTTAGTAGCATTTATCTTGCTTAGGTTCATTTATCAAAGGTGTCCAAAGGTGGAACTATGTTTTACATATTGTCTTGCAGCCTTTTCCTCCCCCATAATTTATTCATTTTGAACATCTTTTTATGTCTACGAGGGGAACAAAAAAAACAGGATATATGTATCTCTCTTTTGATGTAGATAGATACAAGTGTATTTACGTCTACATCTATACCCATATCATTTGTATACGTAGCTACATAGTCATGTCATCTATATGCTTATCTGTATCATCTACCCATAGATACATAGAGACTTATTTTCAGGAACTGGCTTAAACTGGAAGCTGGTAAACCCAATATCTGTAGGGTAGGCAAGGAGGCTAGAGATCTAGGAAAAAGTTGATGTTGTGGCCCTCATCTGAAGACAGTATGCTAGCAGAATTCTCACTTCTGCTTCTTTGGGGAATGTCGGTCTTTTTCTTAAGGCCCTCAATGGATTGGATGAGGTCCATCCACGTTATGGTGGTTATCTGCTTTACTCAAAGTTTATTGACTTAAATGTTAGTTTCATCTGAAAAATACCTTTACAACAATATCCAGATGTGTTTAACCAAGTATTTGGGCATCATGGCTTTGCCACGGTGACACATAGCATCAACTATCACAATCATATTACTTTGGATGAGAGTGTATATTTCATTTTATGTATGAAATACTGTTTAACCAATCCCCTAGGGCTGGGCATTCAAGTTGTTCTCATTTTTTTTTTTTTCACTTACTATTTTTTTTTCACTATATAGCATATTTCTGAGTATTTGACTCATTTGCCTCCTCAGGAACAATATCCAGATGTGTTTAACCAAGTATTTGGGCATCATGGCTTTGCCACGGTGACACATAGCATCAACTATCACAATCATATTACTTTGGATGAGAGTGTATATTTCATTTTATGTATGAAATACTGTTTAACCAATCCCCTAGGGCTGGGCATTCAAGTTGTTCTCATTTTTTTTTTTTCACTTACTATTTTTTTTTCACTATATAGCATATTTCTGAGTATTTGACTCATTTGCCTCCTCAGGAACAATATACAGAGTGTAGAAAGGAATACATATTTTTTTATTTTTTCAAGATTTGACTTCATTTTGTCAAATTGTTCTGGTAGAGGTCCTCACTCCTGAACTACAGGCTGTAAGATTGGGAGGGGGAGAAATGCCAGGCCTGCCTTGATTGTCCTCTTTTGTTCTCAGCCTGCCAGTCACTGGGGACAGGCATGATGCTCAGTTCCTGGGCCACCTCCTCAATTGAAGAAGTGGCAGAGGCTGGTCCCGAGGCCCTTCGGTGGCTGCAGCTATACATCTACAAGGACCGGGAGGTCACGAAGCAGCTCGTGCGGCGGGCCGAGCGGATGGGCTACAAGGCCATCTTTGTGACCGTGGACACCCCTTACCTGGGCAACCGCTTCGATGATGTACGTAACAGGTTCAAGCTGCCACCACATCTCAGGTAACTGATTTACGTGGGCCCTGAGCTGGTCTGCTAATCTCTACTTTTTTGTGAGTCACCTCCAAAGGCTTTCGCCAAGTGGACTCCCTGGGAAATTAGATTTTCACAAAAACATTGGTATCAAAGTAGAGTTGAAAAGATTTCTTGTCTAGGAATGATAGGGTTTGAGTTCTAGAGGTTAGCATCACTGCTAAATATTCACATAATCTGCAGCAAATTGCACCTCTTTCGTGGGTGTTAAATATTTGAGTTATAAAACAGGTAGAAATTGTCCATGTATTTGTAAAAGTCAAATAAATGTATGTACCAGAGTGTATTAAGAACTCGGAGAAGAATGAATTATAATACAGATGAAGATGGAATTGCAATTTAGCGTAGGCCGCAGTTTGTTAGCATGACCCTGGTACTCTATTTTTTTGTTGTTGTTGAAATCGAAGAGCCACCATTAAACTTTATTTCTAATAGGCTAGGAAAATTGAAGAAAGGGAAGATTGAAGAAAGGGAAGCATATAGACAAACAATGCCACATCTTGGCTCTCTCATCTTCACTGGTTCATCCAACAGTAGTATGCTTTTATTATGGTCCACCCATGGATCAGGAGTCATTCAATCACTCGCTCATGTATCCTGACATAAACAATGTATTAATAACCTAAAATTGAGCCATTACGGTTTTATCAGGTCATTCCACCTGTTAGCAGCGAATTGTTACCTTTTGACTTGTTGCATTTTAGGATTAGAATTATCTTGAATCAAATTTAGAAGCTCATTGTATTTATGAAGAAAGACTCCAGCCTCCCTGTGCTATATAAGATACACTGAAATCCTTTCTCTTCCATTCTTCTCTTGGGAACTTGAGTGTATATACACACATGCCTGGCGTGAGTTTTAAGCCACTGGTTCCAGGACTTGAACTGTGGTCTACCATGTAGGAATCCACCTTAACCACTCTGTCACCTGCTGGCATCTCATGCCAGTATTTCACTGATGCATGATAGCTCTCAGAGTGATAAGTATTTGAACAGAGATTAAAAACCTTCATTTTAATAGAGGACATTTTGATGATGAAATTCCAAAGCAGCCATCAGAGTACATGAGACAATTTTTGGTTTTGTTTATATTTTGCCTTTCTGGGAGGGTGAATCTCATTCCACATAGGCCATTGCTCACTCTGTCTACATTTAACTGTATTTGGAATGAGTAGGGCTAGGAAGATTGAAGAAAAGAATGTAGATGAAAGAAACCACATGCAAACATGCTCTGTTTACTCATCTAAACAATTCAAAATGTAAAAGATTCAAGATGGTATCAGCATTATTATATGTAGACAAAACAATTGTAGGAGGCCTCTCATGGGAGCCTGGTGTATCTCAACCACAATGGAAGTCTGTATACAGTCTTGTCTAAGGGCCACATAGTTGCCATGTGGCGCTGCGTGTTCATCCGTGTGAGTACAAACCGCTGTGTGTAAAATCTTCTGTTGAGCCATGATAACTGTGCACTGTCACTTCTGTGGCACTTCCAGGCAGTCTTGGGATATTATTTCTCATGTGGTTCCAGCCATGGGCCCATGAGAGGTACTCTATCTGGCAGATCTTCAATAAAGCTGTTCCATGTGTCCTGGAGGCAGCTTCCCCCAAACCTTGTCTTTCAAAAAGACAAAAATAATAGCCCCTGACATAGTCATATACCTCGCCGAATTCACCAGAAAGCAGATGACTTCCAACCACCCTTGTATGAGATCTGCATTTACTATTACTACTCTGTGGTGACTACCTTACTCATAGCATTATTTTCGGCTTCCTAGATTAATTTGTTTCCTAATATCTAACCTTTTAATGGGAAAATTCCTCATTTGCCCTTGGTCATTTAATACAGGAATTTGCTATGCCCTTGTCTTCTTAATACTACTATTGCCAACAACAACAACAATGATAAATAATATAGTGGGGTGTCTTGTTGGTTTATTTGTGCAGTTCAAGAAACACTTTCTTGCTTTGGAGAACAAAATTCGTCTCACAGAAGCATCTGCTTAGATCGGAGAGAGCGCGGGGTCATTAGTTCTGACTGGTACCTCTTGCCCCTTGAGTGCGGGCACTCAGTAAGGAGTGGTAAGGCCGATGTGCTCTTCCCCCTATTCCTTTACTCCTGGGCTCCTGCCCAGATGACGTGAAGGGCCATGAAACAAAGACCCCTTTCAGCTGTCCATGTGCACAGGCGTGGCTGCGGCTTTGCAGCTTGTCACATCTCCAGTCTGAAGATGATCAAATAATGAGCAACACATCCAGGTTATAGGGAACACCCCATGACTAGGTGCACCCCAGGCCCCCAGTGTGCACACTGGGGTTGTTTGTCCTAGTGGACTTCAGGGCAGGCAAGCACCTCTGGTCAGCTCCTCTGCGGCCCCACTTTCAGACTTCAAAGATGGAGTACACTAATGGGAGGTCCAGGCTTCCGCTCCAGGCTGCATACAACAAAAAAGCTCATCTGTTACAGCATGATATGAAATCGGTTTCTTTCCACAACTGACCTGACTCATAGAAAGTGAAGCTTGGCTTTTCATAAGTGAGGTTTGGCAGGCAAGGGAGGCAGGAAATCCAGAGGAGAATGAGTCTGTAAAGCAATGACTCCATCCAGCCCCAGCTACTTCCCCTGGCTGAGTTGGGGTGGGGTGGACCCAACTCCTGGTGTCTGGGTCCAGCAAGAGTTCAAGGGTTTGGTAGTCTCTGCTTGGTCTATGTGCAAAACATGTGTGTGTGTGTGTGTGTGTTTGTGTGTGTGTGTGCGCGCGTACACACACAGAGTTCCCCTAAACTGACAGGGAGTAAGGGGAATTTTCATCTGCTCAGAAGAAGCAAAGAATGAAACCAGTTTGCCAGACTGACTCCTTGGGCTTGGAGGCAAGGGGATGTTTTTCCCCTGATAGCTCCAAGGAGAAGGTTCTCTTCCCTTGGGTTAAGATTTGGCTCTTCAATGCAATGCTGAGGTAGTTTAGAGAGAACAGCAATTTCCAATCATTGATTAAGATCAAGGAAAATCATAATATCTGCCCTTTCTACGATTTGCCCAGTGATGTGTGATCTTAAGCCTAGAAGTACTTTATTAATCACAGCCAGTATAGATCACAATAAAGTATATCAGACCACCACTGTCTTCCCAGGTTTCATAGGATAAAAGTGGCCTTCTAGATCCCATTACTTCTCTGCCTCATCACCTAACACTCAGATCCCCAATCATTCTTCCCAGCCACTTTGTCTTCTTGCTGCTCCTTCAATATGCCAGTCAATCTTGAGCATCCTGAGCCTTAGCACTGACTGTTCCTAATGCCTATAACATGCTTTTCCCAAGTCAAGGCATAATTAACGTACATATTTCCTTTACGTATTGATGTTATGGATGGATCTACATGTCTCCGTTTTGGGAGACCACATAAAAATGAATAGTAGGGATCAGAATAGAGGCACATGAGCAAGGCAAACAGGGGGAGGGGAAGGGATGAGAGACCTTGGTGGAAGACTTGATACATGACCTGATATGTGCCTCTGAATGCTTTGGGTAGAAAAACACTAACATTGGTTAAGTGTGGTAGGCCAAAGGTGTCCATCTCCTCATCCGTGGAAGCTATTACTTTATATAGAAAAATGGGCTTTGCAGATGTGATTACATTAAGGACTTCGATATGGGGAGATTATTCTGTTTTAGCCCAGTAAGATGAAATGATAGAAGCAGAGGTTGGAGTGATGTGGCCCAGAGCCAGGGAAAGCAAGTGGTTTCAAGAAACTAGAAAAGGCCTGGGAGTGGATCCTCCCCTAGCACCTCCAGAAGAATATGACTTAACTGACACCTTGCATTTAGTATGTGAGACCCCTTTTATACTTCTATCCTTCAGAACTCTAATACAATAAATCTGTGTCATTTTAAGCCTCCGTGTTTGTATTAATGTGCTAGTGCATCAACAAGATACAAATATAACTTAGTACACTTCTAATTTTATCATCAAGGTAGCTTCCCAGTGAGGCCACACCTGGTTACCATTTTAAAATTCCAAATTGCACCTCGGCCAGCTCACATCCCTTTTTCTGCTGATCTTTTAAAAAAATGTTTGCATAGTACTTACATTTTATTCCACTCTGTAATGTACTAATTGATTATGTTTATCATGAGTAGAAGTATGTGGGGTTTTTTTTTGTTTTTGTTTTGTTTTTTTTTTTTTTTTTTTGATTGCAAGAGGGTGCATGCACTCACCAACAAGTGACAGAGAAAAGAGAGAGAGAAAGAGGGAGTGATGAGGAGAAAGCATGTTCCAATGGGAAGCGGTCACACTGTAATCCTCCTCTTTTCTCTCTCCTGTTGAGATTTGGAGCATGCATGCACACATATCCAGCATGTTTTTCAAGCTACCAGGGCTGGGATTTTTGCCTTGTTTTATTTTCTGGTATATCTTAAACATCTAAGACACTGGCATACAGTAAGTGTTCAATAAGAGATTGTTGAATTGGGACCAGCAGTTAGTGTAATGGCTATGTAACTGAACTCCCATGTAGTCGACTGTGGTTCGATCCCAGACCCAGTGGCTTAAACTCACACTGGGCCCATGTGCGTGTGTGCCCAAGATCCTGAGAGGAGAATAGAAGAGAGGGGATTGCAGTGTGGCCATCCCCCCCTGGGGGGGTGACTTCTTGCTTTCTGTTTCTCTCTGTCTTTCTGACGAGCACACGTATCCTACAGCAAAAACCTCTCCACCCCTCCCTCCCCCCCAAAAAAAAACCCAAAAAACAAAAATGAAATTGTTTAATCAACAAATAAATAGGTACTACAACAACATGTGAGATTTTTACCATTATAACATAACTAGTAGGAATTTGAACCAAAATTTGAACTCAAACTTAAAATACATGCCCTGAATCTTTTCTCTAATTGCTCAGCCACATTGAGAAAAAAAATGATCTGGGTAATGCTCTCAAAATAAGTGTTTTTCTAACCACATAACTGAGGGTTGGGGGCCTGTGCACCAATCCCTGCATAGATCAGGGACCTGTCTCTCAAGCTTTCTCTTCATATTGTATTTTTATCATGGACTATGCCATTGCTATCTATCTATCTATCTATCTATCTATCTATCTATCTATCTATCATCTATCATCTATTTATTGTTTATTTATGTTTTGGTTTCCTAATATAGAGGCGTGACTTTATGTTTTCTGTCACATTACCAATAACATCAGTAATATTATATATTACTCATTATTGTTCACATTACTACTGGCACTTTAATAATGCTGAACTTTCTTTAGTAGATGTGACTTTTAAAAAAATGTTTGCTACAATGTTTTTGTGTTCCCCAAAAAGAGACAGAAAGAGAAAGAGAGAGAGAGAGAGCCAGAGAGAGAAAATGAAAAAGCACCACCTAGGAGGAATGGTCACACTGAAATCTCTTCCTTTCCATCTCCCTCCTTTTGGGATTTTGGGCACTCATGCACATGTACCTGATGTATTTTTCAAGCTGCCAGATCTGGGACTTGAACCACGGGGTCGGCCATGTGGGATCCAGATGCCTGAACTATCACACCACTGACTGGTCCAGTTGTATTTTTATGATGCTACCTTAGCAAAAACTAAAACAGTTTTTGTATTAGATTAAAAATGTATCAGAAGGCCACTTGAGGCATCATGAATATCTTATAAAAAAGAAATGCTGCTTCTTCTCTTTATCTTATTAAACAGATCAGGATTTGGAGACTTAAGCCCCAAGTAACCTTTTATGTTATACATATACATATATATATATATATATATATATATATATATATATATACACACAAGGGGTCAACATCAAATAAAAGGTTACTTGGGGCTTAAGTCTCCAAATCCTGATCTGTTTAATAAGATAAAGAGAAGAAGCAGCATTTCTTCTTTATAAGATATTCATAATGCCTCAAGTGGCCTTTAGATACATATATATATATCATAATCTGAATAAAAATAGCATTCACGGAGGTTCTTTTCAGAGTCATTGGTAAAACACTCCATCGTGGGTCTCTGTCAAGATATCTGAAAACTTTTTCTTGGCTTTTGGCTTTGAACAAAGTTTTAGAGCAACAACAAGGCTTCATTGTGCACTGAAATTTCTGTAAGGCAACATTCATTCAAGTGTTGATCCGCATTTCACCGTCCAAGAATAACAACAGTTATTTATATAATTTTATCCATGTTTCTGTTTTTTCCTATCCATTTCACCCTTTCACCCCACCCTTGCTGAAACTCCGTAGCTTGTTTGGGGTGGGGGTGGGATTCCATGCAGAATATATACACATACAGATGTTTTTCTTTTCTTTTTCTTTTTTTTTCTTATTTTCCTTCTGGTTTTGCTATGGGATAGATAGACTGGACTTTTTAAAATTAATAATATTTAAAGGTTTGGAAATTTAACATCATTTCACATCATTTTTAAGGAATGGAATATGTCTCCATGTAAAAGATACGTTTATTTGACCAGAAGGTTAGCTTACTTCAAGTTAGAGTAACTAACCACAGAAGACCAAGGACTATGGTAACATGTACAACCCTAAATGATTGATAAAAAAAATATATGCCTAGGCATTTCAGTTAAAATCCCTGCCAAAGTCCAACAATTATTGATAGATGGATATCAATATGAGTCTCATTGAGTTGGAATTTCCTGTGATCTTTAGTGACTAACAGATTCCATGAAACTATAGGACTAACTATGTAGTCTTTGTTAAGAAAACTTTGCCAATGGCTTGATTCAAGTTATATGGGATATGAATGTTCATGTTCATATAATAACATATGCCACACAACCTACACAACCAGTTATTTACACAAAGTGTAAAAGGCATGAAACATAGTTTTGTATTAATGGCTAACACAGGCCAGCCAGTGTCGTGGTGGTTAAGGCAGGTGGGCCCCACATAGCCTATTTTACAGTTTGAGTCCTGGACCTAGTAGAATGAAAAACATGCAGGGTGCATGTGCATGCAAGCTCAAATCTCTAGAGGATAATGAAGAAAAAAGGATTATGGCATGATCATTCCCACTGGGGAGCAATTTCTCAATTTCTTTATTTTTCTCTTTTTCTCTCTAGTGAGTACATCATATGCCCTATAGCAAAAAAACTTAATTAAAAAAAAAGAAGTCATGATTATTTTAAAAATAATTTTACTTAGTGTACTGGGACACTTGTAAGTTTGCATAAAGAGTTTCACAGTCATGGTTCCAGAGTCTTGTTTATATTCAGTGGTAGAGATAGAACAGAGTGAAAAAAAGCTAGGACTAAGCCAGAGATAGTATGTGACTATACTTTTACCCAAAAAAACAATTGACAAGCAGAACAATTTATAATATGCAAAAGAAGAAGGTGAATCCAGGTCATTGTCATCACTGAAGAACATCCTTTTAGGAAACATAGTTCCCAACTGTGTTTGGTACTGTGACAGAAAAGTCACATGGATGGTACCATTGTGTATCCTGATAACTATCTACCCAGCTAGAACAGAGGTGCAGGCAAAAAAGTCTTTGCTCTAGTCTAGGGAACAGTCAAAATAGACTTGATTCTATGTTCAGCCTGCAATGCAGATCAGTCATGCTGAAAAATATTTGCATGGGGCCTTATAATTTAAAAAGGGCTTTGATATACCAATATCATCACAATTTTTCTTTGAAAAACATTTAGAAAATAAAATTAATACTCTATTATGATTCTCATTTTATGTAGAAAATAAAAGCAGGAAAACAGAACAAGATGTCCCAACTATACAATCGGCTGATGGCAGCATTTTGGCACTAACCTGGGTCTCTTGACTGGACCTGTAATTATATACGCCTTGCTCAGATCTCAGGTGCATCTTGGTTATTGCACCTGAACTCAGGAAACCTTCCAATGCCTTTCCAGAAAATACTAGAGGAAGTTAAAACTGCAATAACGTGTTAACACCTTCTGCCTGTTGCCGTTGTAGACACTTCCCTGCCCTATGTATTAGGGCGCTCATGGTGATGAGCATGAAAAATGAGAAACATGGGAACCAGCAGTTAGTGTAATGGCTATGTCACTGGACTCCCATGTAGTCGACCGCGGTTCACGTCCTGGACCCGGTGGCTTAAAACTCACTCCGGGCACATGTGCGTGTGTGCCCAAGATCCCTAGAGGAGAATGGAGGAGAAGGGATTGCAGTGTGACCATCCCCCCTGGCGGGTGATTTCTCTCTTTCTGTCTCTCTGTCTCTCTCTGTCTGGCGAGCGCACGTGCCCTATAGTGAAAAACCTCTCAAAAAAAAAGAGAAACATTTCCCAGCAGATGAGTCGTCTTGTACCTTTTCCTCCTCCATGTAATTGTTCTCTCTGAGACTGTGACTTAAAATTCCCTAACGTTTCAGGTCATTTTGACAAGGGGTGTGAGCATTCCTGCTATGAACACAGATTGGCTTAAAAGAAAGATCTTCGAATGTGGTTGTACATTTTTCCTTGAAACTGATTTATTTGTATAACCACAGCCTAAGCTGTGAAATACACTTTATGTGACCAACTAGGACCACCAGACTGTCACATTTGGCCTAGGGTCCTCATCAAAACATGGAACAGACACATGCAACCAACCTATAGATGTTTGAGGAGTAAACAGGCAATTGATTTGAATAGGGTAACCTTTTCTTTTTTCATTGAAGGAATCGTTGTGAAGATACCCTAAACACAAGACAGTTTCTCATTTTATGTATCTCTTTATTTCAGGATGAAAAATTTTGAAACCAATGATTTAGCGTTTTCGCCTAAGGAAAATTTTGGGGACAACAGTGGTCTTGCTGCCTATGTGGCTAAAGCAATAGACCCTTCTATCAGCTGGGAAGACATTAAATGGCTGAGGAGATTGACTTCGCTGCCAGTCGTTGCAAAGGGCATTTTAAGAGGTTTGTTTACTTTTCTCCCCAGTCCATACTCGTTTTATGATCCTCTGTCAATGTGGTCATGATATTTTTAAGGGCAAAAACAACTAATTAGGAAATAGGAACTTTAAAGTGTAAAGAGATACTCCAACTCTTGTCTCTTTCTTGATGTCAATGAATAAATATCTCCTTGTTCTTAGGTATTATTCTAAAATAGAGCTGGACACTCATAAAACTGAAAGTTAGCTTTTTCAACATATTGGGATGTCATGGCCTTATGTTGGATCTGCCAATGAATCACAGGCAAGATCTTAGTAGAACAACATTAATTCACTGCTCAACCTAAAAGTTACAACAATTGTTCTATGGCCAAAGAGAAGCCCCAAAGATAACATTGTGATAACCATATCTGTTTTAAGAGTTTGTTCTCTTTGGGAACCAGCAGTTAGCGTAATGGCTATGTCGCTGGATTCCCACGTAGTCGACCGCGGTTTGCGTCCTGGACCCAGTGGCTTAGAACTCACGCCGGGCGCATGTGCGTGCGTGCCCAAGAACCCGAGAGGAGAATGGAGGAGAAGGAGAAGGGATTGCAGTGTGGCCATCCCCCCTGGGGGGTGATTTCTCGCTTTCTGTCTCTATGTCTCTGTCTTTCTGGTGAGCGCACACGCCCTTCAGCGAAAACCTCTCAAAAAAAAAAAAAAAAAAAGAGTTTGTTCTCTTTTACTTGTGTTCCCTCAAATGCCAATAGCTAGGACTAATTTTTGAGTGTGAGGAAACCCACAGCATCTCTCTATAGATAATGGTTAACTAGGACAGTAAGATCCTCAATTATCAAGCCATGGGAATTGAGGTATTTGACCGTTTCATCACTTACACATTCATGCAAATCCCACAGGAGTTATCAGTGACTATAATATTGTGATTTTAAAGCGTAAATATGTTCACCCACAAAAATGTTTCCTTGCCCTTGAAAATATATTTTTTCGTAGAATGGTAATGGAAATAACTGCAACAACACTTTTTGAAAAAAACTGAGTAAGTGGCTATGGGATGAGAGAGTCTGTTTTCTCATCTAGAAACAAAACTTTTACATAGGTTTTACTTGAACATGTATCGGTCATGTGTCCTAGTTAAAAAACTGTCAACAGGCTGCGTGCTTGGACTGTTTATCTTTGTGTAGGCAGAAATGAAATACATAAAAGTGAAAAGATTTGCCAAGAACAGGTTCAGGTAGTTTAAATATGCTTAAATCCAACTCTTAATCTATGCTCTTTTTTTTTTTTTTTTTTTAATTTGCTATGAGACACATGTGCTTGACAGAGACAGACAGAGAAATAGAGAGAAAGAGAGAGAAAGTAAGAAGCACCCTAGGGTGGGGTGTGTTGGGGGTGACCATCCTACAATCCCTTCTCCTCCATTCTCTTCTTGGAACTTCTGGCATGCACTCACATATGCCTGGCATGTTTTTCAAGCTGCTAGAGCTGGAACTCAAACTGCTTAGTTGGCCATGTGGGATTCAGCTGCTTTAATCACCACGTCACCAGCTAGCTTAGCTTAATTTGTGCTTTTAAAAACATATATTTTTGCAATGTTTCCTATTGAACATTGTCCTAGTTCAGAATTTCTGTAGATTAAACTTCAACTAGTACATCCTGGTTTACAGGTATGATTAAACCACAGTTTCATTTACTTTACTCACATCTATGTTGTCCTCCATGATTTTCTCTGTGGCCATATTCAGCTGCAGATATTGATGAACTTTAACCTCAAGGTACTATGCCATTCATTTATGCTTATGTTCTCTTATTTACTCACACTATCATTCATTCCATAAATATTTATCATGCTGGCCAAGAACCACTGAACTGTCTTGATCCAGGAAGCATCCTTGTCAGAATAGCATTTCAGCAAAATCAGACTTTGTACAATGGTCCTGATGGAGGTGGGAAAATTATCAAGAAGGACATTTAGGGACTGTTATTACCCAGGCAAGGGAGACTGTGGACTGACGTGGAATAATGGCAGGGAGGAGAGTGGGAAGATATAAGCAAATTAGAAACCTAATACAGTTATCACAAAGATGGCCCAGAGGAACTGACTTGAACACTCTAAGGGAGAATTAAAATTATAGTTTAGTACCATAATTGTTTCAGTTAAATGGGGGAACAAATGCAAGAATGAAGATATTTCATTTTTAAAAACCAACTTTTAAATTTAGTATTCCCAATTAATAATGTTTTCTACAACCTTTTCCCAAATCTAGCATATGATGTAAATTTATGGAATTAGATTTACTATCATATATTATGTTGAAAAATACTCTGACTTCCAGAACTTCATTCTGTAATTATTTTACCTAAGACTACCACCAACACCATTATCACCACCATCTTTATTTTCTTCACATCCAGTTGGATCATCTGCTCTGCTACCGCATGTGTTGAAAATGTTTTGCACACTTTAGATAGCCCGAAAGTTTATAAAATCCTCAATGAAAGCTATATGACCCTATTATATTTTAGAGAACAAAAGAAGCAAGAGAGAGAGAGATGGGGTATTTGAAACTTATACATGTATAGTTTACATTGCCTAGTTTTTCTGTAACTATTTGTTTCACTTATTTAACAAACAAGAATCACATCGATGACAGCTGCATCAAGTAACACATATATGTTCAAGTTAGATATGAGGAGAGAGGTCATGAAGTCAATTGTGGAAATTCATGTCTCATAATTTCACAGATCTTGATCCAGAAGTTACATGGATTGACTAAGAGTCACCCATCCTCTTTCATTCTTCTTTTCATCAGAAAATACAGACTATGTTTGTGGTGACATGAAAATCATGAGTAACTAGAAAGATCTAGAGGAAATATACTACCCTTACCATCCATCCCTTGAAGAATTGCATTTTAATAAATGCAAATTGGAATGCAAGATGTAATCTCTTGCTGTGGTTAAACTCTGCCCTTGGAGAACTTAACACAAGCTCCAAATATGTACTTGAAACAGGATTTAGTATTCCTCATAATTCACACTGACAAATAAATGGCTTCTATGAGCAAAGAGAAATGCTTTTTAGTTTCTTTTTCTTTTTCTTTCTTTCTTTCTTTCTTTCTTTCTTTCTTTCTTTCTTTCTTTATTAAAAAAGAAACTAGACTGTCTTACTTTCATTGTGGCTTTTTGTTTCTGAGAAACTGTTCTCTAATTGGCTTGTTTCATACATACATTTGTTCAAGACTTCAAAGAAAATTCATACATTGTTCCTGGATTGTGTTAAAAACTGCTGCCATTTACCATCATTTAATACTAAGCTCTTGTAGATCACTACAGCATCTTGGGTCCAAAACTCTAAGGGCACAAGTATAAATTCTGTGTACTTACATTTTGTTTTGGCATTTTGGATTAAAAATAGAATATGATATTAATAAGATAATAGACAATGATGCTGCCTATTAAGTATTTCTCAAGGAACAATGTATTTACTTGTAAATTAACAAATAAAGAACACCTGTAAACTCCAAGGGTTAATGAAAGTATCTGAGTCCTGAATATTTTGCTAAGTTCAAACATTGTGACATTCTCATTAAGGTAACATTGCTTTTCTCCCTGGGTTAAAATGAAATGCAAAACTATGGGCAAGGTTTTATAAATAGCTAAGGAAAGGAGCTTATATCTAGTCATAGGTTATTCTTACTGTCTTTCCATCTTTAGAAACTCACAGCCCCATCCTCTGAGAAACCATTCTGTCATTTCCCCCTATATTCTCAGCACTACCTGGAGAATATGAAACAAAACAAAACAAAACAAAACACTGAAATGATGGAGGATGGAAGTAGAGCTTCCATCTAGGAAGCTAGGAAGGAAGGACACGTATCATTGTAATCCTCAGTACAATGAAGCATTATTGTTATAAACAGAACTCATATAGACTTGCCCAAAACATCCAGTAACAAATCTTCCTCCATTTACTCAACTTCGTAGTTTATATTCCCTCAAACCACCAGATGAAAATAATAATAATATCTGAGTGCTCAACACATGTCAGACACTTGCTCAACACTTATTCAACTCATTAATTCACAGGTCAACCTCTTTTTCTAATTTCGTTTCTTCATTTTCATGAAAAACATTTTGTCAGAGGGTGTGTGTGCTTTCTGGAGAGAAACAGAGAGAGAGAGAGATAAAGGGAGGGAACATGAAAAAGTCTTGTGAGGGATGATCATGCAATAGTCCCTTTTCTTCCATTTTTCTTCCTTCAGGATTTTGGGCACACACTCACACGTACTTGGTTTGTTTTTGAAACTGCTGGGTCTAGGCCTCAAACCACAGTCATCCATGTGGGATCCCGACATCTTAACCTCTATACCACAGGCTGGCCCACAAATCAATCTCTGTGTATTACTGTCCTCATTGGCTGGTTTAGAGCAGGAGTGCCACTACATGGTAAGTGAGTAGCAGAGGTGGGATTTAAGTTTAGGTGGTCTCCCACTTTAACCTAAGGTGTTAATAACTTCTTCAGACTGTGTAGGATCTGTTTATTGGTAATATTTGCCTTCTCACAATGCAGGCTATAACTACATGGTGACAGACATCCGAATGCAAACTGGAAGAATCTACAGACGTCAGTCATGGGGTTTATAATCTATCAGAGTTCACATTTTTTTTTTTTTACATTTGCCTTGATGTTTAGAATCATTCATGTGACTGAAAAATATAACAAAACATACCAATTCAAAATAATTATTTTTTAAAGTTAATTACTTTATTTTATTTATTAATTCATTTTATATTAACTTGACCAGACACACACACACACACACACACACACACACACACACACACACAGA